TCAAATATTAACGAATAATTGTTTGCTGTTGGTGTGTAGCCCAAACAAATGGACTGTGCCCTACCGCTTAATTTACTAATTAAGTAATACAATCTTTCAGCGTCCGATAACGATGCATTATTTTGTATATTATGTTCAAAACTATTTATGAATAACGGCCAAGTTTTAATATCTCCATTGAATACCGGCATATCTATGGGGGGCAATCTAAGTGATTCACGTGGGCGTACCTGGATCTCTGGTTTTGCTTCGCTTTGGGCTGGATACTGTAAGAGCTTTGTCGTTCTTTTTACGCGACACAACATATCTTCAAATGATAGAAGTGGTTGATAATTCACTGTATACTTGGGGTCGATTTGCAATTCCAAATTATTAATTTGGTCTAATATCTTTTCGTAATCCGTCCGCAAAGAGTCCACCGTTTCGATTTCACATAAAAACGTTTCCCGCACTGCTTCTACGTTAATATTTTTTTTGTGATCACTTATATATTGTACACGTGAAAAGAGTACGTCCCTCTTGGCGTAAAGAGTTTTAAGTTTAATTTCATTTCCACTAACTGCCAATCACTATAATTAATATTAGATTAATCACAAACAATCGCACAACGCTGGAGGATGGACACAATGTAATACAACTATATCTCACAACACACTATTGTCTTATCGTGCCGTATTACGTCGTTAAATTGAACACCTTTGCAACCAAACGAGACAAGACACGTCGATAGATAAGAATCTAAAACTCTGGTCTGGTGAGGCTACAAAGCACCAGTCCAAATCCGGCTGAAGGACCAGAAAAATGGTTGGGCGGCGGGCCTTAGGGTTCCCGAGTCCGATTCCCCGGTCGAGCCTTGAACCTATTACGCGAGGTGTTATACTAGATGGTCTGTATACGCGGTAAGCTTCTCCTGGTTCAACAAGATGGCGGATATGGCTCGCGGTTCCTTGACAATGCACTCGCTCTTCCGAAACCTATTGTTTGCCAAGGTTATGAAGGAATCCTGCTTGAGCACAATAGGAGAAGTGAAATGGGGCGGGTTAGCTAACAAACAAATACTCAAGCAGGCATTGAGTTATAGGAAAAAAACACACTTACCGGGGTGTGACTTCGATGCGGCTTGGACGCTTCCATTACGGTGCGACTTCTGGTGGATCTCCTGGGGCCCCAGGGATGCGTCCTGATGGCGTCCTGGCCAGTGGTGCGATGGAAGAGAGCGGTGCGCGATGATATCTCACACTAGGTGAAGCGGTTACTCCTGGAGCTCGACTGCTCCAGGTGCAGTTCTAACTAGCGACGCGAAGGCAAGAGAGTACTCGAGGGCAGCGCGCGAGCTTATATTGCTTCGGCCCTCCTATCAATGCATCTCGGTCGGGCGCGCTTGTCATTGGTTGCAAGTATCACGCAACATTCTAGAATCTCTTTTTTCCCTCTTTCCCCCCCCCCCTCAGTGTGTACGGAAAGGATAGGTCGAAGGAAGGACACTTGGCACATTATACCCTCGAATAAAATTAAATACACTAATCGTTTTCCGCGCAACCAAAGGGTATAATGAAAAGGCTGAGTTAATGTAGTTGTATGTTATACTAGCTATTCCTCGCAACTTCGTCCTCCTGAAATTTATTACGATTGGATTTTTCATTCGGATTTTTTTGTGGAGAGCCCTATTTCCTTTTCTGAAGTAAAATTAACTTAGGTTACTCCTTATAACATCAGCTATTTGCTAGTGGGAGTCCCGTCAAAATTGGTTCAGCTATTTCGAAGATTAGCCGGAACAAACAGACGGACAGACGGACAGACAGACAAACAAAAATGTTAAAAATTGTTTGAATTTTAATTTGAATTTAGTAAAAAGCCATTATTTGGACATTACAAACAGACACATCTTTTTCATTTATTTGTATAGATGATAATTAATATTTAAGGTCCCACTTGTTAAAAATTAATTAGTAAGTTTATTTGTTTGTCCTGTCTATCTACATAACGAATGAAATTATAATAATGATAATAAGAAGTAGAAGCCGCCATGGATCTTCCAGTTGTGGTTGATTTGGACGATGATGAAATGGTCTCCCACCAACTAGAGCAAATGAGGAGTATCTATCCTACCCGGGGTACAAACTGGAACACTCCTTTGTGCCTCGGGCTGGAGTTTGCGTTTACGTCAGAGAGGACATCTGTTCTCAACGCCTCGGCAGACTTGAAGGTTCGGACTTGTCCATCCTTTGGCTACGCGTAGACAGCGACGACCAACCGAGCGTCTACGGGTGCCTTTATAGGTCCCATAGCGGTAATGCCGAAACAGACCGACTCTTCGACCACGTCCAAATGGCTGCAGATTCGTTGCTACAGCAGATCCCCTCCGCAGAGATCGTGATCCTCGGCGACTTTAACGCCCATCACGCCGAATGGCTTGGTTCACGATTAACGGATCATGCGGGGAGATCTGTTCATGATTTTGCCTTGGCATATGGTCTGACACAACTGGTTACTTCGCCTACGCGGATTCCAGATGTGGAGGATCATGCACCTTCCCTGTTCGACCTTCTGCTGACCTCTCACCCGAACCGATATCAGATTTCCGTCGACGCCCCTTTAGGCTCCTCGGACCATTGTCTTGTCCGGAGTATGGTGCCACTCACGCTGAAATCGCAGTTGCATTATGCAGGCTGCCGCCGTGTTTGGCACTATAGGTCAGCCGATTGGAATGGGATGCGGTCTTTCTTTGCATCCTACCCTTGGGGGCGTGTTTGCTTCTCGCCGGACGATCAGGGTATGGAACTTTTTATTCCTTCCTCTGTGGTGCCCATTGGAGGCATATCTCAGCCATGGTTTGGTCGCTCCTGTAAAATAGCATCATGCTATAAGCAGGAGTGCTACCAAGCCTGGGCTGACGTATCAGCGTCCCGGGATGTAAACACCAGCGCTCTAAAAAAGAAGTATAATTCCGCCTCTAGGTGCTTCAAAAGAGTCATTGCCAAGGCAAAGTCAGAGCACATAGGCAGAATTGGCGAGAAAATAGTTCACCTTCCTTCTGGAACCCGTGCATTCTGGTCTCTCGCCAAGGCTGTCCAGGGGAATTTCTGTCAGCCATCTCTTCCATCTCTGCACAGGGAGGACAACTCACTGGCCCATACCGCAAAGGAGTAAGCCGATCTTCTAGCCTCTTTCTTTGCGTCTAACTCGACTCTCGATGACGGGGGGAGTACGCCGCCGACCATCCCGTGGTGTGAGTGCTCCATGCCGGAAGTGCAGTTCACACAGCGCTCGGTTCGCAAAGCACTCCTCTCCCTGGACATCCACAAGTCGAGTGGGCCTGACGGAATCCCCCCAATTGTGCTGAGGACGTGTGTTCCAGAGTTGGCACCGGTTTTAACGCGTCTTTTCCGGTACTCCTACTTCCTAGGCATAGTCTCAAAATCATGGAAGACGGCTTTCATCCACCCGATCCCTAAAAAAGGTGAGCGCTCAGACCCGTCCAACTACCGACCTATCGCCATCACCTCCTTGTTCTCCAAAACAATGGAGTCCATTGTAAACTGCCAGCTCATGAGGTACCTTGAGGATCACCAGCTGATTAGTGACCGCCAATACGGTTTTCGCCGTGGTCGATCAGCTGGTGATCTTCTGGTCTACCTAACTCACGGATGGGCGGAGGCAGTAGAGTCCAAGGGGGACGCATTGGCCGTTAGTTTGGACATTGCGAAGGCCTTCGATCGGGTTTGGCACAAAGCGCTTCTTTCGAAGCTCCCTTCCTATGGGCTTCCCGAGAAATTGTGCGACTGGATCACCAGCTTTCTTGCAGATCGGAGCATCAAGGTCGTTGTAGACGGTGCAAGCTCCGATTGCAAGCCTATTAATACTGGTGTTCCACAGGGCTGCGTGCTATCGCCAACGCTGTTTCTTCTGCATATCAATGATATGTTGCAAACCCGTAACATTCATTGCTATGCAGATGACAGAACTGGTGATGCTCTTTACACCGGTCAAGCCAATATATCTCGGGAAAACGTCTCCGAGTGCCGGAAAAAACTTGTGTATGAACTCGAGTCTGCTGAACAGAGTTTCGGATTGGGGGCGACTAAATCTGGTCCAGTTTAACCCCCAGAAGACACAAGTTTGCACGTTAACCGCTAAAAAGAACCCCTTTGTCGTATCTCCTCAGTTTCAAGGCACTCCCCTTGTTGCCTCAGCCAGTATTGGAATCCTCGGCGTCGACATATCGAGTGACGTGCAGTTTCGTGGTCACTTGGAAGGAAAGGCCAAATTGGCCTCTAAAAAGCTTGGCGTGCTCAGCAGAGCGGGACAGTATTTCATGCCGGCACACCGCCTGCAACTTTACAAGGCGCAGGTTCGGCCGCACATGGAATACTGTTCCCATCTCTGGGCTGGGGCTCCCCAGTACCAGCTCCTTCCACTTGACCGCATCCAGCGCAGAGCGGCTCGAATCGTCAACGACCGAGTGCTTTCCGATCGGCTCGATTCACTGGCACTGCGAAGAGATGTTGCATCCCTTTGCATTTTCTTTCGCATATACCGTGGAGAGTGCTCTGAGGAATTGTTCGGATTAATCCCAGCCGCCAATTTTCATGAACGCCCTACGCGGCAAACGTCCCGATACCATCCACACCATCTGGATGCTTGGCGGTCCACCACTGTACGTTTCAAAAGGAGTTTTCTTCCGCGTACAACCTCTCTGAGGAATAGTTTACCACCGGCGATTTTTCCGGATCGATTCGACCTGGGGACCTTCAAGAAAAGAGCTTACTCCTTTCTAAAGGGCCGGCAACGCACCTGCAATTCCCCTGGTGTTGCGGTTGATCATGGGCGGCGGTAGTTACTTAACATCAGGTGAGCCGCATGCTCGTTTGCCCCCTCTTCTATAAAAAAAATTGGAAGAGGCGATTTTGGAAACAGCATGCCTCTCGAAAATCGACCGCGACTTCCCCCGCAAACCCCTAAGCAAGCAAAATCGGGTTGTCGTGAGGGCTCTTAACCCAATGCTGGTAACCTATTTGGAAGCCAGCCGGGACCTTTGCGAGACGGACTCAGTTCTTTTTGTCGCCGCAGTAGCAGCTTGCCGTATTATTGGCGCCAAACTTCCCATGGCTGGATGCGCTACTAAACAAAGTAGGGCCAACCCAGCCTGGAGAAAAAGAACTGAGGACCGTATCGCAAAGGCAAGGGCCCTTGTCGGCAGACTGACAAGCTTCAGGTCGGGTAATAATAGATCGAGCGTTGTGCGCACCGTTAGAATGGCGTTTGCTGGGACAAATATAAGTTTGTTCCAGCCGGATATCACGCAGAAACTAACGAAGCCCATAGACGACCTGAAGCAAAAGATCGCTGCTTGGGGGAAGCGGATTCGTCGATTTACCGAGAGGTCAAGGCGGTTCAACCAGAATCGTCTCTTCCAGAGTGATTAGAAGAGGCTCTATAAATCAGTGGAGCGGGCCCAGGACCGGATCAGGCTAACACTGTCGCATTTTGGCGTGACCTGTGGTCAGAGCCCGTAAACCACAGCGAGGGCCCTTGGACGGAAGTTGTGGCGAGTCAGTGTGCGAGTATAACGCCCATGGACCCCGTCATCATAACGCCGGATGACGTAGCTGAGGTGGTCCGTAGAGCCCCGAACTTGAAAAGTCCGGGACTCGACGGGCTGCATCACTACTGGCTGAAGGGGTTCATGATGTGTCCCGTCAGTTTCAAGAGGCTCTCAACCACAAGTCGCTCCCTAGTCTCTTCACTACTGGGATCACTCATTTGGTTCCTAAAGACCAGGTTACCACAGACCCGAGCAAATACCGCCCCATCACGTATCTACAAACCATATACAAGACACTAACATCCATTTTGAGCGCGAGAACCACTCGTCACCTGGAGCTAAATCAGGTGATGGCACGCGCTAAAATGGATGTCGGGGCGGTGGTCGTGGAACAGTCAACGAATGAAATTACTAGTATTGTTTCATGCGTTCTTTATTTGTTAAATAAATTTGGCTCATAATCTTTGTTATGTTATACTACCTTATTACTTATTCATGTGTTATTTAAATTTAAAATGACGATGGTTCTTGTTATCCGGGTTAAAAAAAAAACTAAAAGGTTATTTATTCGACGAGTGTGTATTCTAATGTATGTTTTTCGGTTTCTCGGAAACTGCTTAACTGATTTAAATAGGTCGTTCTTTATTAAATATCTAATCGGTAATAGCCAATCTTGTCTGTGACATCTTAGACATGACTGTGCTAGTGCAGCAGGCACACGCTCGACTGTGGCCGCCTTCACTCGGTCACTGTGACGCAGGCGCGTCACTCACATCTGACCTGCGTATATACACAGTATATATTTCAACACTAGAAAAAAGACCCATACAAACCGATACTTCAACGGTGAATCTCACCTTCCTTAACTGTGAACTCCCTTCATAGTTAGCTACCGTGGGCAAATGTTTGTTACAGAGAGCACGAGGGATCTGTGACAGCAAACATCTGACCGCCGAGCTTCAGCGCGTCAAGCAGGTTCTGCACGACCACAAGCTTCTGGTCCAGCGCCTACGTCACGGTGAAGCCGGCCACAGTCAAGCGCGTGCCTGCTGTATTACCATATGTCAGAGGTGTCACAGACAAGATTGGCTACATCTTGAATCGAGCTTCTATTGGAATATTCTACAAGCCGCCGAAGAAGATTAGTCCGTTCTTACCTTCAGTCGAGTGTCATATTCCTCTACAAAATGTAGGAGTGTACAAGCTTTTTTGTGAATGTGGTCTCAAACAAGCAAACAAAAATATTAATTAGAACCCGCGTAAAAGAGCATATAGCTGACGTGATGCATCAACGTTCCGGGATATCTGCAATTTGTGATCATATCCTAGACGTCCCTAACCATTACATCAGATTTGATAGACCACAAATCCTCGCGAAAATCGATTCCTACCAAGGATGATACGTGAGGCTATTGAAATTAAAAAACATCCTAATTTCAATAGAGAAGGAGGCTGGGTACTACCACCTACTTGGGACCCTATAATTAATAAAATTAAAACTAAACCCAAGCATACCACCGCAATACTTCAAGACGGTAAGTTCATTCTGCGTAGATAGGACAGTAAATACTAATGAAAAACCTGAAGGTACTCCGGGTTAACACTGACACGGGACGTTAGTCACCACAGTCCCCTATGATCATGGGTGACTGAGGTGCACCTGAAACGTCGGGTATTAAAAATAAAATAAATTAAACGCGATAAAATCCGTAAAAGTATTTTTAATCAATTACGTTTTTGAATCTCTACTCAAAGGCAATTCATTAAAATCCACAATAATTAAAAACTCCATACCTCAAACGTAAACTGTGCGGAGAGCGATCGGGCAACACCTAAAAATCTCTGCTAAAAACTATGACTTCTGGTGAGAATAATTAGTTCACAGACATTACAACCCATAACTACTTTTTACAAAACGCACACACACATACGAGTACAGTGCACAAACATTGTTCAACATTTAAATTAAAACGCTACGATGTGAGCCTAGAAATAGTTCACGTCATCAACGTAACCTGAGAATTGACACTTTTTCATCATTCTCAAAGTTGAAACTACCTTTTCACAAAATGTAAAAGGGGGCACTCGAGATCTTCATTCTTTTAACAACACAAAACTTGCCCACCTTTTTACATTCATACGTGGGATCTGTTATTTTAAAGAGTATTATGCAATCTATTATATATTATGCAACGCCAGTAAAATGATCACAGTTTGAACAGATCTATGAAACAAACATTTTAAACTACTACAACAGTTTGTGTTACGCAGAGTTGCGAATGCATGCTGGATAATCATGCGTGTCGGTTGCGTTTCTTGTTTAAAATATAAGTACATTAGGTACACATGTAAATAAACGAGAAAACTGAACAACAACAGTAAATTTTTGCTAAACAATGCGTATTGTAGTATATTGTAGTATGTATAAAGTGACCACCTGGTAAGACATGCAGGAATTCGAAGGATGCTGGTGGATCAGAACCATGCTTTGTGGCATCCCGTGGGTGAGGTCTATGTTCAGCAGTGAATTAGTAAAGGGCTTGAATGATGATGATGATGATGATGCGTATTGAAATTAATGCAATTTTCTGAGATGTAAGTGCTGTTAGCCCATGCGGCTATTACATATTCTTCTGACTCAGGGCTCGCGGTGTGCAAGCTGCAAGGCCGCGAGCTTATTAAAAAGGAAAAGGCGATTTAAAATGAAAAAGCTAATTTGATGTTGAATTTTTTACCGTGATCAAAAACGACAAAATTCTATATTCAACGCGTATGTTTTTATTTTGTATACTGTTACAGTTAAAGTTTATTAAAATTCACCGCCGAACATAAGAACAACAAACCCCACAGATTGCCTCAGTAGGGATTTTTATCATAGTTGCCACGCTTGGCAAGCGTGTTGGTAACCGCATTTTTTGTTTTTAGTCATTACTTGAAAGCTACTGCTGCCATTCTCCTGATTTGTTTTCCTGTGCCAATTACGACACCCACGGGATGACACCCGGTATGCCTCCAATATACGCTAATATTATTTTTATGTAAGAGGAGGCAAACGAGCCTGCGGCTCACCTAATGGAAAGTGACTACCGCCTCCCTTTAACAACTGCAACACCAGGGGAATTACAGATGCGTTTCCGGCCTTTTAAAAAAGTTGGCTCTTTTCTTGAAGGTCCCTAAGTCGTATCAGTCTGGAAAAATCGTTGGTGGTAGTCGATACCACAAGGAAGTTGTGCGAGATAGAAAATTCTTGAAATCGCACAGTGGTGGACCGACAATCATCCAGATGGTATGGATGGTATCGCGATTTTGTCGCGATGTGCATTCGTGAAATTTGGCGGCTGGAATTGATCCGAACAATTTCTCAGAGCACTCCCCGTAGTAGATGCGATAGAAAATGCAAAGGTATGCAACATCCCTTCCAGCGCTAGTGAGTCAGGCCGATCAAAAGAAATGCGTTCGCCGACGATTCGAATGCAATGCTGGATGCGATCAAGTGGAATGAGCCGCTGTGGTGGTGCTCCGGCACAGAGACGAGAACAGTAATACATGTGAGGCCGAACTTGAGCCTTGTAAAGCTGCAAACGGTGTGCAAAATAATGCATTATCACGCATTCTGAATTTAAAAGAAAAATAGGACAGAATGTTTGAGATTTTTTTAAATTAATTTTAATTCATCAGTCGGCTAAATTATTTATGCTAATTTGGGCATATATTGGAAAATAAACCTGTATACACTCGCTAGAAACCGACTTTTTTTGTTAAATCATAACTTTACAGTAAACAACTAATCCAACCAGCGACATCTGGTGAGATGCGTGCTGGTGCTCTTCATATCTGCGAAATATTTTTATATCTCAGCCATGCAAGTTTCTTCACGATGTTTTCTTTCACCATCGAGCACGTGGTAATAAAGAAAAATGTTCTATTTCAGTAAATCTTTTACAATTAATTTGCCGAGGCCTCCCAGAAAGTAATCATAAGATACTTGTGTCGGGAGATTCTCGCTCTTCCTAAGTAATCATAACAACTTAGATTTACATCCAAAATGTTAAAATAGCAAAATTTTAAACTTAATAGTACATTTTTGATGCAGTATAAAAATAAAAAAGAAAGTAGAGTAGAGTAGTTGAGTCCGTGTGTTGGTTGATCATTTGTTGTGTGTGCGCGCGTGTGTGCGTGTGTGCGTGTGATATGTCTTTATCTTATTACCTAATTTTTATTTATAAACTTTCTTTAAATTTTAGGTAATTGAAACATGCAAATCCTCATCTATGTTATTATGTATTAAATAAAACTACTTTAAATTTTTGATTATTTTAGAAAATTTGCCAACGACATAGAGAAATGCCCCACTAGCACAGTTGAAACGATATACATTATTTTCCTATGTGTTGAGCGCTATATAAAGAGAATCACAAACGAGTACTCGTACTTCCTTATTTATCGTTGAATTATTAAGTAAAATTGTGTGCTGCAAAATAGTCGTTCAAAAAAAATGTAAATCGATAACGTCTGGAAACACCATCCACCAAACAGTTTAATCGTTAAATTGATTGATTTAACAATTTTATATATGAGTTAGGCCTTAAGAAATAAAATAAATTTCGAGTAAATGTACAGCCTAGGTGCTTGAGTAGAGCAGTGGCTAAGCGTTTATCAGAGGTGTAGCAAGTTCGATTCTCTCACGGCACAAGTATTGTATAAATAACCAACAAATCATTGCTTCTGGTCTGTGTATTGATACATGTGCAATGTATTTTGTAAAACGCCTGAACTGTTACAGTAGAAATTTCTTTTTATGGAAACCCGTCAAAATAAAAACGTAATTACACATCTACTATCGACATCTACATTTATCCTCGATTAAGGATCAAAATACAG